TGTGAGATCTGTAAATCTGTCAAATGTAAGACTTTAGCACAGCCAGAATGAGATCATTTCCTCACTTGATCATGTGGGGCACAGAAACTTTAGAGTTCTCCTCAAAGACGCTGGTCATCAGGCCGTTACAGCGGATGTTATCGATGCACTGAAGTGGAAAGAAAACACACACACACACACACAAACACACACAAAACAAACAAGGATAAACGTTTCTTTTAGAAGATCAGCTAAAGTCCGCCATGGCAGCTCTGAGTTCCTCTGAGTCGGTCAGTACCTGGCTGATGTCGCTGGTCCAGGCAGCCTTCTCCTGGCGGGAAGGAGCCAGGAGAACAACGCAGAAGCTCTGACCATCAGGGGGCTCCACCACAATTTTAAACTCCAGGTGACTGAAGCCTTGACCTGCAGCGTTGTCTGAAACGCAACAGGAAACCAAAACACTTTCATTCTGCTCAGCTGAGCTGGGATTAACCTTGTATTGATCTGTAAACTGCCTAAATGGCTTTGTTGCATTTAATCAAAATTGTAAAAAAAAAAACCCAACATATTTTCTATTGTACCTATGAACTTTCTCATTGATATTTGTTGTTTTTTCTAGGTAGTGTTTCTTACAGTCCTTCTTCCGCCAAACTTTTTTCATTGTTGAATTCTGCAAAGTTTTCTTTGTAGAAATCTGACGTTCAGAGGTTAGGCAACCACTGGAATGAATTTTAATAATTAGTAAAGATTGCAGCAGGATACTCACAGTCTTCATCACTGGCATCTAGTTCCTCAATCAGAGTGCACTCAATCAGAGACAGAGTTCCTCCCTGCTGTTAGGAAGAAAGATAACAAATTAAATATTAAATTAAAGCCTTCCCAGTGAAAGATATTGGACACAAATCTAGACTCAACAGAAAGACTTTATTTTTAATCTTATTATGCCAGAACAAATATTTTCTGTCATAATTATGAGGGAATTTTGTAGATCTAGTTGTGCCTTCAAGGTCTAATACAAATATATTATTTATATGACTTATCCCCTAGTGTACAGGGGTATGTTCTGAACAGATTTAAGCTGACCAAAACTGTATTAAGACAATTTCAGATTAGCAGGAGAGATTGAATGTCTTTAGTTTTCAGATTTGTAAAATGCAAAGCAGGATTTGTCGCACTTCCATTACACAGATTTTTGTCTATATTCTGCTAATGTCGAAAAAACACAATTTTTGGAATTGTTTCCATTCAAGTGACTAAAGTCATGGCAACAGCTGAAGTAAACAGTTACATGGGATATATTCATAATTCAGCCATGACGCTAACACACGTCACCTATCACCCAATCAGAGAAGACGTCAGCATCTTATTCAGTAGTTTGAGCGACAAGCCACGCCTACTCAGGAGCGGCTACTATGCGTCATTTTGGAGAAATTGTAATAGGTGATTTTACAGAAGAGTTATGGATTTAACATGTTGGAATGACACTCAACTGATGCTGTGAGAGCTCTGAACAACATCTGAAAAAAAAAAAAATCAGAAACAATCCATTTTGTTTTTGCCAGTAGTAACATCCAGCTGCTGATCATGTGACTTGTGTGATGTGAAAAAGGTGTTTCCATTGCAGTTCTGCAACACACATCTACTTCGATACGGCCGAAAAGCAATCTCATCATTTTTATTTTAAACAATGATTTTTTTTTTCGAAATGCCATGTTTCCATTAAGCTGATTTATTTTCATAATTTCAATTTACACAATTTTATGGTTAATGGAAACACAGTGTATGTCTTCACAGGCCTGTCATTTTTGCAAAACCTGTAACTCTAGAGTCTGTGTAGAAACTGCTGAACTTGAAAACACTCAGATTGTAGATAAAGAGACGTTTTACCTTCAGCAGGTGCAGCTTCCCTCCAGAGGTCCGTGTACAGATGAGGAAGTGCTTGGTGAACAGGAAACACTGCCTCTCTCCTTCCTTCCTCAGTGAGAGCGAACCCAGACGCACCTTACTGAGCATGCCCCGTTCGCTGCTGGACGGCAGCTGGATGAGAGAACCTGATCGTGGAGGAGAGAAGTCGTGAAAGAGTGCAGGAAGGTGGGACGGCTGAACGAAAGCTGAGAAAGCAGGAAGGCTACCTTGTCTGACGAAGGTCTGGCTGGTGTCTAACAAAATGTCGCAGCCTTCAACGATCATCCTTTCAATGGCCAGATTCTTCCTGATGTTCTCTGTGTCGCTCACCTCGTCGTGCATCATTCTGAAAACACAAGGAGCAGAGGTCAGTATGTGTGTGTGTGTGTGTCTGTGACCTGTATGACCCAAACAGCCGGTTTTACTCTCAGTTCAGCTGAATGAAATTTGTTAAGGAGACACAAATGTTACAGGACATTCTGAAGAAAGAAAACTTATCATTTCTGATAAATTTCCACCATCGAACTACAATTGAACTTCTATGTTTAGATTTTAAATGATGACAAAAAACAGCATAATGGCAAGAAACATTTATCTAAATATTACTTATACCTTAAGTATCATTCTTTTGTGAAAATTCAGTGTAATTATTCCATAAGAATGAGTGAGAAAAATAGAAAAAAATTCATCTATAAGAGAGATGGATTTATTGTATTTCTAAAAAACATGTAATTCCTCATAACTGTAAATTAATATTAATGATGTTTAAAAAACCTCTAAAAATAATTTTTATGATATTTTCTCTACTGTTGAGTTTATTACAACATCAATAAATAAGAAAATATGACGATTAAATATTTGTGCAGCTTTCACTGCAGTGCATTTTTTGAGTTCCTCAATAAGAACCAACATGCAACCAAATGAATCTGTCCCTGTGCGTTTAGAATGTACATACAGAAAAATGATATTCGGTCTCCACTGTAGGGTAAAATTCAATGTCACTGAATCGTCATTTTCATTTTTTTTTTCCACAGTCCCACACTCACTTTGACAACTCTTCCAGTTTGGATTTGGCGAACTCCAGGCTCTTGCGCTCCACATGCTCATGGGGTGTGTGCGCCAGCAGCTCATGGAGGGTGATGATGTATCGAGGAATCTAGCATTTAAAAAAACACGTGTTATAAAGAAAACATTGACATATTGAATACTAAGACATGGATGTATGATTAGAATGTGGGATGAAAATTAAGAATTTAAACCTGAGTTTTTTAAGGTTTAATATTTAAAAATCTGAAATTTTATCAGTTTAAAACCAACATTTTCAAATATGTTAAAAGCTATTTTTTTTGTAGTTTGTGACAGAATTACTTTAATTTTAACACATTCTACCAAGATCTATAAATGATTTATTGCTGTAAAGTTTTACGCGCTCCAAGTGTTTTTAACCCTCTTTAAACACAAATCTAAATAGCTTGTGGTGATTTTTTCAATCATATAATATGTAGAAGTCTAGATATTCAGACTTGTAGATAAATGGCTGCAGCAGCCCAGCTGCATTAGTTTGCTCAGTCTCAAGCCAAAAGCTGAAACATCGTTTGAATCAATTGAAGTTTTTCAAATGTACTCAAAATAAAAGCCTTTTGATTTTCCATTCATCTTCATTACAATATACATTTGAAGCTGATGAAACGGCATGTCGTGATCGTAGTTACCATATGGCCACTGGAACTAAACCTAGACCTTGAAAACAAAGCAGTTTATTGCCTAATTAGTACATAAAGTGTTTGGTACCTGGAACATGGGGTAAGTGAGGAAGGTTTCCAGCATGCGGCCCTCACAGCCGGCGTTGTATTCGTACTGTTTGAGCAGCTTGTCAAAGTCTCGGTTCTGCTTGCAGTTGGCCAGAACCTGCAGGCTGTACTGGTGGTTCCGCACAAACTCCTGGTAAATGTTGAGCATGGGCAGCAGGATGTCGAACAGGTCAGCTGGGAGGAAAACGCACAGCGACTCACATTGATGTATCAAAAAAGATAGTCTAAAACTACAGCTTCTACTTCAGACATCTACAGGTAATAAATGTATGTTTTTGATGTGGTTATATTACAGTGACTCTATGTAATAATAATAATAATAATATTTATCACATATTTACATTGAAAGTGCTACAATCAATAAAACAATTAACACAAAACAGCAGCAAAGATCCTAAAATATAGATGTAAGCATTAAAGTTTAGAAATTCATAAGAAATATTGAGAATATTAAGTTTTTTAGGCCTGTTTTGAATGTATGTAACTGTAAAAAACTCATTTGTAATTCAATTATTTGTTTGGAAATTACTTTCTTGGAATGAATTATTATCTGTTTAGTGACTGAAAAGTGAAACT